CATCTACTTTTCTTTAAGCGGTAAACACATTCAAGTCCACACATACTCGCTCAATTTGATCTGAAAGATCTATTTAGATGATTAGTAAAAATCTCAAAGCCCTCCTCACATTTTTTTGAATGAAGATAGCAAAACCAAATATGTCTAAATAAATTCTGAAGGAGAAAGTTGCATTTAATTTAAGAAAACTCAATAGCATTTGAAATCAATTAACCTTAGGGATAACTAGTACTCCTATCAAGCTTAGTTACACTCATTCCCTTACATTTCCTTTTCTCTAAACTTCTTTTAGCTATTTCCTTCATAGACAGTGTTAACGACAATTTAGGGTTAATTCTTGTTGTGGCATTATATTCCTGGCAAAACTCCCTATGAGAGTTCAAACCATCTTGCATTGTAACTTCATTACTTCTCCTTACTCTTTCTTTAACAGCTTCACAACAAAGCCCACACAACCATTTCCCATAATATTTTTCTTCAACTTCTCTCATATAAATTCTTGTATATTCCTCCTTCAGCCCACAACAATGGCATTCACCTTCTTCTACCTCTTCAATATCATCAAACTTTCTCTCCTTTTTCAAGCTATAACATTTCTTTATCTCTTGAGGACACGTCCGAGACCGCCTTTCGAAGCTTTTGCCGATTCTCCTCCTATGGAAAATTAGTGTCAAGTATTAGAACAATATCAAAAAAGTTGAAAGAAGCAATATAGTATTAGAGATTATTGGATAGAGCTAAGTAACCACCATGCATATGAAAGAAACAGTTTGAGAGCTTTTAATTCGTTTTTTTTCTTTTATGCCTTCTTGCAATGGTTGCGTTTGCATCATCATCATTATGAATATGTGCATATTTATACATTACCTGTGACTGAATAATAACATAAAGTGAAGTTAATTATATGATATTTTTAAGTAACAAGTGACAACAAAATATAACTTTACAGACTAAGGTAAAATGTATTTGTACATAAAATGTCCTATCAATATTTTTTAATTGGTCCACTTGAAGAAATACTATAAATGTCTATATTTACTACATCATGTACCTATAATCTTATATATGCTTTTAAACACTTGTCGCTTGATATATTCCCTGTTTGCCAAGACATCTGAAATTAATTAATTAATCTTAAGCTTTTGTCTTTATATCTTCAACTCGTGAAGAATCAGACATGTTGCATGATTACAAACTTTATGCATGGGTGAACGGCTGTGTATTGATTGAATATAGTATAACTAAATTAGCTGACTAACAATGATAAAGAATTCAAGTATTTTACAAAGCTTATTCATTAACTCAAAGATAAATAACACAAGACTAACGGTAATAAAGAACTCAAGTATATTATTTTGATTCATCGTTAATTAAACTATTTTCGATCCACCTACTAAAGTGATTTCGCCTTATCAACAAGGACTTAACCTATTAATCAAAAACTTTGATTACAACCACAAACACCATAATCAATTTCTTGTTAAGGATTCTGACTATACCCTAATCCCTCAAAGAAATACAACTCAAAGGACAATATGTCAATGACTTCTCGAGTAATCTAATTATATCCTAGTCTCTCAAAGAATTTAACTAACTGGTTAAGATTACAAGGTTTTGTGTTTACAAAGTACTTCTTAGAAAGTTAATACACAGTTTAAATACAACAAGATTTATAAAGAATGAAAGTTATAAAGCTTTCAAGATAATTACAACTTTCTTCTTTGTGTAGATTCTCAACTTTTAGTTCTCAGTGCTTTTCACTTGATTTTTCTCACTTCGTCATTTTCTCATTGCTTCAAGGACTCTTTTGTATAGATGAATAATATATTCATTCAGGGTGAATTTGGAATTTCTCAAATCACAATTGCATGAAGACGTTTGATGCACAGTAGTATAGTGGCGCTTGACGTATTGAAAAGGTACGAACGTACAGTCCTTTTTGCAGAGTAGTGTAGAAGATATATGATTTTGTATTATTATAATATTTCACCAATATCTTCCTCCAGCGTAACTTCTTGAGTCAGAGGCTTCTAAATATGTTGTTGAAGCTTGATTAAAGTTGGTCTTCAGATCTTGAGAATGTTGAGACTTAAGAGTCTTTAATCATCAGAGTCATTTTGGATATGATTCTTTAAATATTTGACTTGATGCTTTTAGATGCATATTTTCTTGTAAACACATTTTTGTATACTACACAGGTTCAAAGTGTGTTTAATGTTTAGAGTCCAGAGTTGCTCATTCAGAGTCCAGAACTTTTACTAGTCCAGAGACCACAACTTACTAGACCAGAGTCCAGAGTCTAAATAATTTGTACACTTAATAGATTGTTAGAGTTCAAAATTCTTCTCTATTCATTATATACTTTGTTATCATCAAAATTCAAAGATTTTTTATAGAATCAAACTTATTCTAACAATCTTTCCATTTTTGATGATGACAAAACCATGCAATTTGATGAATAATTTTTCATTGATAAGCGCACAATAGTTTAAAATAACAAAGTTAAGTTTGTAAGCCCCCCTAAGTTTAAACCTTAATAAACTTTTCAACTTCATCGGAGTAAGATTTGTAAGCTCCCTCTGAGAATATTATCAAAATTTTCATGACTTCTTCAGAGTGAGGTTTGCAAGCCCCCCTGAGAGTAAGACTTAGAATATTTTGATTTTTCAGAAAATTGTAATCAGAGTAAAAGTGTCTGGTTAATCGGGAATCTGGATGATCAGATTTAACATGGTCTATCAGAGTCTGCACATAGATCTCTTCAGCACAAAATAAGTAGACATTGCAATTAAATTTATTTGTCTGAGCATCACTATAAGATATATCTCATGTTTGAGTTCTATTTAGCAAAATAGATATATCAAAAGCAGTTCTTTTTCTCCCTCTTTGACATTAATAAAAAATAATGAATAATAGACAGCAAGATTGAATAAAGACAAAAACATGAAACTTTCATTGATAAAAGAGAACCGAGATTACAAAAATAGATAGAACAAGATAACAACTAACAACAAAAAACAATCAAGCAAGATTCGTCTCCTGAGTAAAATAATCTAGATTTCTGTTTCAGTTATTTCTAGTTTTAAACCGCAAACGGTCTCAAGAACATCAGTTAAACCTACCTTTTAAACCTTTTTAACTACCCCTTCCTAAATAAAGAGTTCAGAGAGAACTCTTCCAAAATTAATAAATAAGATCTTGCCCTTACGAGAGGTCATGATTTTCTCCTTCAAATAGCTAAAGATGGTAAGAGGTAGGTTAACTTCCTATTTAAGTATAATGAATTACGGAAACTGTTTATCCTCAATGTCATACCCCAAATTTATCCTACCTTTTACTTTTGTATGGCTTAGACTTATTTCATCTACACCATCTTCACTGGTTCATTTGCATATCATGCATTTCATTGAATAAAGCACTTTAGTTCAAGAAGCGGTATTCGTGCAAGACTAGGGTTTCATGTTGGCTTTGAGGTTCCTTCATCAGTTAAAGGAAATTTTGTCTAGTTCTTGAGCAGTGGACTATGTGGAATTAGGATTTTGAAGTATGGTTATTATGGATTTCTCCAAGATCACTAATGTCTAGGGCTTGTTCAAAGTGTTTCAACAAGTGAATCACGTGAATTGGGGTTTGTGTAACTTGGCTACCTCGAGCATCATGCCTTTGGCATTGTCAAGTAGGATGGGATCTCTTAACTTCTTGGTTGGAAATAGTTAATATTTTTGGTATACTTGGGTTCAAGATCTTTCTCTGTGGATAGTGAATCAAGTTACCTAAGCATTTTTGTTTTTCATCAGTTCAGATAAGGTTTCCTCGAGAGCTATCATATGGTGCATTGAGATATATTTTCATCAAGTAAAGAGGTTTTTGATTCATTGAAGATCGTGATTCATGTACCCGTGAATTAGGGTTTTGATACTCATCATGATTGGGCTTGTAAACATGCATCAACTGGAAGTCATTTGGTTAGGGATTTCATGTCAAATATCTCCTCACACTTCAAGTTTTCATCTTGAGATCTTTAAGTCACCAATTCAAGAGTCTGGAGGTTAAATTAATGAACATTGAATCCTGGCACAAGAAATAATGTTGTAGGTTCATTGTAATCAAGGCGTTCTTGTTTCCTCAAGCACTTGTCGTTCTAATGCAAGAAATTTTGGACTTAAATTTGAAGACAAGTTGTGAATTTAGATTCATTCGAGTGATTGTTTTGAGACTCATTCAAGTTTTATCCATTCATCATCATTCAATTTATACGAATTCCACCTTGATTAAAAGTTATTTTCAAAAGTGGCTTGTATCAAGCATATTCATCATCGAAGGAATTTTAATCGAAATTCGGGATTCAAATATCATTCAAGATTCAACCAAAAGTCCAAGATTTATCCAATTTCCATATAACAAGTTCATCATTCATAAATTCAAATAGAAGACATTCAAGTTTCATATTCATTACATTTGGAGAATTTTACAAATAAATTTACAAAGTTGAAATACAAGTTACAAGTATCTTCTTTACAAAGAAAATATAATTTTTCTTCAAATTTCTTTGCTCCATCTTCAAGCAACTTGTCTCACACCTTCCTATGACTTTTTCTTTAAGTTTTCGACCTTGCCTCTCCTTCTTCACCTTCCAATCAACAATCATCACATGAAAAAGAAAAACAAACAAGAAATTCGTTAGTTCTATCGTAATTTGAACAAGAGGTTTCCAAGCGAAGTTTTCTTTTAGACTCATCATGAGGGTTTATGCTTGGAATCAGAAATTTAGAAGGTGTTTTCAATCATATGCTAAGCCCAATTCAAAGCCACATACAAATCAGATTTCAGAATTTTAAATCACGGGCCATGTTCCAATTGCAAATCACAAAATTAAATTTTGGTTCACAAAAAGAAGGAGGTGAAAATCTCAAGTGTAACAAATCAGGAAAAAAAATTCAAAAACAAGTTGCAGCAACAACAGACCACAAAACAGTCCCAAAAATCAAACCTACCGCCCTGCACATTAACAATCCAAAATCTGTCCAAAACTTGCACAAAATAGAAACACAAAAGTCAACAAAAAAGCATTACCAAAAACCCAGCCTTGCTGCCAACAATCTGTCTACAGTAACACCCAAATGCAATAAGCCAAAACAGCCCCAAAACTCCAAGTTTTGTTCATCATTTTCCTAAAAGCATAAACCCTTCAGAAAGTTATGAGAAAAGTAGAACAACGGTTCTGCATCACAGACAAAAAGAGAGAAAAGGACTAAAGATTAGAAAGGCATCACCAAGGCATAACAGTCCAAATACTAGTTGCTGTCCCAATTCCAGCCTTACTACAACATATAAAACTGTCCAAAAAAATCCTACTGCAACTTCTGCATAACCAGTCCATATCCCTGCATAAACAACCTAAATAACAAGCTAGAATTCTGCATAATAACTCCAAATAAAATTGTCTAAACAACTTGCCCTGTATCAAATAATTCTGCTATAAAGTCAACCC